AGAGGACTTGTAACACAAGACAGATCAATCCCCAGGCTAGATCTATAAGTTCATGGAGAATAATCTTCATATCACGATCTCACTCGAAATCCTCATAATTAATTAAGTCTGAATCTACCTCTAAGCAAGTGCCCAAAGAAAAGTAGACTCTGACAGAGTCTCCTCTATACAAAGTGGATCGCCAGAATTGTCACCTGTCAAAATATAATCTAACTCTTTTAAACTAAGGAAATTTCGGCAGCGCTTCCCGTAGAAAAAATATTTTTTCAAAATTTGTATCAGCTTGAATATAAAGACATAAATAGTCTTCAACTTTCCAAAGTCCAATTTTGTCTAACTCCCTGAATTGGCAAAAATTGTGGCAGCACTCTCTTTAGAAAAACAGACTTTTCAGATTTTTACTAAGTCATATATAAAATTTAGACAAATTGAACTTTGAAAGGTCAAATTTTGACTAACTCCTTGGATTTGCAGAAAATTTGGCAACGCATCCCGTAGAGAAAGTGGCTTATCAAGATTTATACAAGCCCAAGTATAATAAATGTTCCCAGAAAATGCAAGAATTGATCTAAGTAAAAAAAGTTAGCTCAGAAAATGCAGAAATTTGAACTAACTCTTATCGTTCTAGCACGTGGCGAGCCTCTAAAGCAACTAGCTATCAAACTGAAACTCAGACTAAGTAGTTATCTCACTTTACCTTATGCAAGGTCAAACCACAAAGGTAAGTACTCTCATCAACCCAAATCACATTTGGCAAACAATAGTTCATAGTATTTCAATGATTTATCCCTTTATACCCAGCTTACATAGGGCATAGAGTTAGGTCATTCATCTTAAGACAATGCCAACTCCTTGCCTTAATTACACACGAACAGGTTGCACAACTACTTCTCTTTTCATTGGGCATATGACTAAGTCATTCGTCTTAGAAACAATGCTTAGTCGCCCTGATCTGTTTAAATAGCCAAGTTATATATATATCTCTGAGTTTTGATGTTCAAAAGTGGGCGTAGGACTGAGCCATTCATCTTAGAAACAAAACTCAGTCGACCCAAGTTACCTTCAATTATAGCTCTTAGTTATACTCTCTTAATTTGTGTTAGGGGTATAGTCAGACCATTCGTCTTAGAAACAATGTTTGACTAGCCTTGTGCTCATAAACATATATATAGAATTATAGAAAATCATATTCCTTTGTTCATGTTAGAATCCTGTGGCCTCGGACTTAGACCATTCATCTTAGAAACAATGTCTAGTCTTTGGTCTGAACCTCCCTCAGAATAAAACAACCAAAAGAATTGGGTCATTCGTCTTAGAAACAATGCGCAACCTTTTTTTCTCAACACTAAAAAAAAGCAGAGTACTCTGGGTCAAGACCCAGATACTGTTCAGAAACCACCCAAAGTAAACAACAACGAGACCATTCATCTTAGAAACAATGTTTGGTCCTCAAAGTTTGCACAACCAATACCCCATAGAAACAACAACCAGGCCATTCATCTTAGAAACAATGTCTGGTTAAATTAAATAAACATAGAGACCAGGCCATTCGTCTTATAAACAATGGTTGACCCTTTAGAAAATAGAACAAACATAGTAGCCAGACAATTCATCTTAGAAACAATGTCTGACCCTATAAGACCCGTTCAAACACAAGCAAAACTGCCTTCCTCCCAACCTTCCCCCTGATGCAACCCATTTTCGCAATCTGCTTTCAAACAATCAACAAAAACTGAAACTGAAATTGCGTATGCGTTCTTTTACTTGATTTGGTTCATGTCGTGAAAGTCAAACCTAAGTCAAAGTTAGGGGGCATACAGTATACTCAGTCAAACATAGTAAGATGTACAGGTACGGGTTATAACTAGGTTTATAAAGGGGAAACAATTGTTACCTCTGAGTTCCCTGCCTCCAGAACTCCTCCCGAGTTCCGACAGAGCTCCCGCAATCGGTGGGCTGACTCCCCACAGAGTCTTGTTGCGGTCCTGCGGGTTGCAATCCCACCTGCCGCCTTCCTCTCGTAACCAAGATCAGACTTAGACCTAGAGAGGCAGAGGAAGAATGATTCAGTCTCCCAGATTCAAGAGAGGTGCACTCAGACTCGCGGGATAAGGCCTTGAAATCTTGATACGCCTGAGGGTCCCGCAATGGCGGCCAAATTACCAAGTAGCCTGGTTACTGCAGTCAAGTCCTCGTCGCTGACCGTGCGACGACTCTCCAAGTCTTAGCAAAGATCCTTAATTCGACCATGTACATATTAGGGGGCAGTTGCCCATGAGTTCTCGGGTTTAACTCGTTCCATTCAACTCATAATTCCCAATGTCCTCTGCGTCACCTTGTCATCTCGTGAAGTTCACACAATTCAGCTTCCCCTGCTTACCTAACTAGTGAGAACACGAGGATGGAAGCGACGACGACTATCAATCACAATTCGATAGAAGCGGGGCTAGTGTAGGTGTGCCTATCTCGGCATATGTAGCGCTCCAAAAAAAAACTAAAGTCTGATCTTCTCTCTATGCATACACTGATGGCATCTTGATTACTCGTTCTCCCTCATCTCGCCAGGACAGGAGCCAGATTGGCAGACTGTTAGCGCATGACGAACGAAGATGTAGGTGATGCAAAAGTGTCACATCTCCACAAAACACTTCGAGAAAATTGACCTCTAATAGTAGCACCGTGACTCTGACGAGAGAGATGACGTCAACCGAGTCGCTCCCACGTGGATCGTCCAGCATTCTCGCGAGAGTCCATCTCTCTCTCCCTCTCTCTCTTGTGCATCACTAGCACTTTCAAGTTGTTATAACACGCCCATTGATGATTGTGCGCCCCTCTCTCACCATTCGTAGTTGCCTTACCATCTTCGATGGTGACGAGTGGTCGAACAACAAACTGTGCTAATCATGCTAGAGCTTAGAAGACAACCAAGTTCTTAGTATGCTTTAGTATGATAGTGAAGTACATACGTTGTCTCATCTCTACTTGTCTCTCTCGAGCGAGCAAACTCGTTTAGCAGATGACAATGATCGCACACAAAAAGCCGTTGAGGTCAACAAAAATGGGGAGCGAGCTTGTCATCGCTCATCCTGCTAGAGTGACTCGGAATAGTCTGACTTTTCTCTTCTTTCTATGTGATTAGTACTTTGCTCTGCTCATTTTCGTTCTCCTCACATACCGTGATCACTCCACGACCTCAGTCTTATCGTCGTCGTGAATTGACCTCCGGGCCATCCTCCACTGGCTTCGCAGACGGTTGGTCTTGTCGCCACTGCTCCTATCCATGTCGGGACTGGGTAGTCGCACCACTTGCTTTGGGCTCCGCTTCAGAGAGTCCCAGTCCAAGTGTTGCTGCTCACGTTCTTTCGTCCCCGTGGAAGTCTCCGTCTCATGATATGAGACCATATGGACCTCTGTCTCATGATATAAGACCATATGGACCTCTGTTATTAACCCCGTTTCTCTAGCACCTCCTCTTCGCTCGGTTCTTAGCCTCAGTAATAGTCGCCTACAGTTCCTGGTTTTCCCGCATCTCGTATTCTCTGCCTCCCTCGACATTAATTTTTAGCTTGGCCTCTCTGCCGTCAAAATCAAGGATCATAGTGATCCAAGGGCCCTCCCTTCCTGACTACGGTGTCCAGCGTACAAGAGACCTCCAAACCTCCAGCCTATGGCCACGTAGGCCTTTGGGGTATGCCATATTTCCACGACTTAGGAATAGTCGTAGCTTAGCCGTAGCCTACACACTCGCAGAGAAGCATCTGCGGTCTGGGAGCTTCACCACTCTGCTCTGTCCATTGGAGTTCCTACCGGGCGGCGCACGGACGTCATCAATCTTCAACGTTCGGCCCCCAAGAATTGTACCCCAACGGCAACCGTTGGTGGCCTGTCGACTTCCATGCACATCGTCTAGAGTCATTCTCCCTCGCAACGAGTGCTGCTAAATGGGAAGCGGCCTACAGACGAAAAATTCGAATATTTGAGGCTGCCAAAATTTCTATTCCCAGCTACATGCGCGAGGCATGACAACAACGTTTGTCATATTCTCCAGTCAACCTTTTGCTGCCCTCTTCTCGTCACCGTTTCCTGTCGTCGTGTCGTCGGCGTTTGCTGGAGCCTTGCTGCTATCGTGCAGTTACCGCTCTTCCCCACGTGTAGTTCATAGCCAACGTCTTCCGAAGATTACCGTTGTTGTTCCTGGTGTGGGTCACACTTCTCCTTGTCGCCGTCTTCCACGTGTGCATCCTCAGGACGCTGCCTGGACGCACGCGCAAAAGGCGTTCAGCGCCGAAGGGCGTCATTATGGAAGGGCGGCAGGTGAAGAACAGGACTCCGGTGGACCGACTCGCAAGCCACGCGTTGTGCAACGTCCCGACATGCATTGCCACCACACGAACAACCTTTGCCCAACACGTCCGATGACGAGGCAGAGGATGCACGGTCACATACTGTGGCACTAGGAAGCGGCTCCGCCCAAGAGTGGGCGGGGAGCTAGTTGTATGGGAATCGTGAGACGACATCTCGTCAGTCTTTCACATATCTGCTTGAAGAAGGCATGCGCGAAAGTGACAATGCGGCCGACGTGAATCTTTCATTTGGGCTCTGTAGCGGGAGCTCGTCAGCCACCGCTCGTACAATCCTCGTCAACCCCCACCCCGATGACGACGAGGGGCAAGTGACAGCAGCCGGCCGATCACCAAAGGCTCCGAGCGGAGAGTGGGTGGCCGTAGAGAAGACAAGGGAGCGTCCGAGAGGGCAGTCATCAGCGTCATCAGCGCCTCGTGCTGCCGTGGGCCGTTCGAACTGGATGCAGCCACCATCGCCATTGTCGAGGGGTGGAAGCAAGGGGAGCTGCACGACAGCTTGCGTGCTGACGGACGAAGATTTTGCAAGCGGTCCTGGTGAGCGGGTAGGGAGGCAGGTGTGGGCGGAACATCAGCAGCACGTGCGCCGAGAACGTGAGGAGTTGATAACGCGGCGGGTCCAGCGACTGGGGAGTCAGCGGGTGAGGGAGGTGATGACAGAGAAGAAGCTGGCCATAGTGGACGCCGATGATTACGACGGTGCCGCCGAGGATGACGACAAGCAGGACGACGAGATAGCCGACGCTCGACAAATCCGGTAGAAAACCATGAGTGGTCGGTCTAGGACGAGCAAGGCTTCTGCGTCGACGGCACGACGGGGAAAAAAGGGGGCGGCTGCGGGGAGTGAGGGGGAAGGCGACGTGGAGGGCGAGGGCAGTCGAAACTTCTGGTCAGTCGACCACATGGTCGCCCTCATCAGGGCGAAGCGGGAGCAGGATGCGCATCTGCAGGGGATGGGCCATGCATATTCTCGCATGAAGCGGAGGGAATGGAATTGGGCAGATGTGAAAGAGAGGCTAAAGAAGGTTGGCGTGGAGAGGACACTCGAGAAGTGCGGGAAGAAATGGGACAACTTGATGCAACAGTTTAAGAAGTTGTACTTGTTCCAGGGGGAGTCTGGGAAACATGACTTCTTTCAATTGACGGGGAAGGAAAGGTCTGCTCATGGCTTCAATTTCACCATGGATCGGGTCGTGTATGAGGAGATCAAGGGTTCCACCGAGAAGAGTCACACCATACACTCGGAGAATGTAGCCGACACAGGCGGTTCCGGAGGTGTGCAACTGTCGTCCGGGTTTGCAGGCGGCCCTGAATCTGTGGGTGATGGGGACCCGGGTGCCAACGACAACGACGAAGACGACAACTGCACGAAAGGGTCTTTGAGAGCGTCGGGCAACACTGGCGGTTTCAGGAAGAAGAAGAACGTTAGGCAACAGACTTTCGAAGCTCTTATGGAGTGCATGGAGAGGTACGGGACGCTAATGGCAATGGCGATGGAGAGTGCTAGCAAGAGGCAGTGTTCCATTCAACTTCGACAATGTGAAGCTTGGGAAGCAGAGGTGGAGGTGCAGAGAAAGCACTACGCGACGTCAAACGATTTAAGCAAGCTCATGTGCCAAGCACTGTTGGAGATAGCGAAGGCTATACGAGAGAGGTAGATCAGGGAATCCTGCCGTCAACGACATTGCCCGGGGAACTTACTGATTGGTCCATGCCACTTGCATCATCTTTTGTCGCCATGGACGCCCCTTGAACAACCATCCTCCCGTCGTCCTCCTTCGTCGTCGTTGACCAGCATGCCTTCCTGGCTGCCTCTCCATGTCTCGGGGGGGTTGGGGGCATCCGTGTTGTTATTTATTATTTTCGTCCCCATCTGTTTTTACCAAGTACTCATCCCGTGTTGAGCACTTTGCGTGATTTTTAGGCTTGTGACTGCCAAGTCCAAGCCTTGTCGTATATGTATTGTCGTCATTTGGCAATTTTATGCAGCCACATTCTGCGTTACTTTTTGACTTGGCGTTCGTCTGTGTGTGTGTGTGTGTGTGTGTGTGTGTGTGTGTGTGTGTGTGTGTGTGCATACGCTGTCCTTGCGTGTTCCAAACTTATCTGAGACAACAACTAATTGAATCATGAATGACATTTCAATGATGACATTTTACGACACAAAACTTGAATGATGAGGTCGTGCATGGAAGCCTGCATAAAAGTGTTGAATTGCGATCTCATCTGCACGAACTTAGGAATGCAAGAGGGAAAATGCATGTTGTCATAAATACCTCTTGATGCACAAACGGTGTGGTCTTCAATGATGTCCTCCTGTTCGAGTACGGATGTCCGCAATTCTCGCAAGAAGGAAACAATGTTATTTAATGCTCATGAATTTTATCTGTCATTCGACCTTTCAATGAAGGAAACGGTGCTATTCGGCTACACACACATACACACACACACACACACACGTTGGAATATTTGGTAAGTGATGTTGTCGGTAAAAGAGAGGGACACATCGATGAAATAGGGCGGGTGGTGGACAGGGGTAGGTTGGGGGGGGGGGGGAGGGGGCGAGGGATGTTTGAAGAGCAGTTAACCCATTATTCATTAAAATAGTACATTATTTTGTGTATTATTTGTTAATGAATTTGTTAGGCAATGAAATGTAGGGAAGGGCAATGAAATGTAGCCCCCCGGGTACCGTTATTACCTATGTAAAGGATGTATCCGACATACAAATATAAGGTACACCTCTCAATACACCCTTAATAAGCAGCGAAATGCACCGTCAATTTATTAACGAATTTGTTAAGCAATG